TTCCGTGTCACTTCTGGGGACGCTGGGATTCTAGGTCAAGAGAGATTGATCGAACTTGCTTCAGCTGGGGCCCACCTTCACTTTGTTCAGAATGGGGGGAATTGCTGTGATCTTTTCCTTAAAGGGAATGTGGGTCCCTTGTAGAAAATCAAACTGCTCTACACGTCCTGTTGCGAGGCAGCAGTTTCCTTAGCGGGAAGAGATGTGCCGCTGTGCTAGGGAGGTACGTAGAAGTCGCCCTAACCGTGGTCAGCTCCACACCGCCAGTTCAGCTTCATCCCTTCTCTGTCTTTCAAACTCTGAATCAATCAATATGCTGGACGTCTCCACACTAGGCTAGTATAGGCTCCCTCTCCCCAGAAGCAAGCAGCAGTGTGTATACACCCTAAGATGTTAGGGAAGGGAAGATAGGTAAAAGAAATGACATTGGCTGCCAGCCTGGTAGATACCCTGACTCTTTGTTTGTTCATTTGATTTTACATCCCAACCAAAGTTTCCCCTCTCTTCCCTCTTCCCAGTTCCTCCCCATTCACCTTCCCCTACCCCCTGCCCCATCTATTCCTCTACAACTTCCCTTCAGATCCAGGCAGGCTTCCCATGGATAGGAACCAGTCATAGCATGTCAAGTTGCAGTGAGACTAGGCTCCTCCTCTTCTGTTAAGGCTGAATTAGGCACCCCAATAGGAAGAAAGGGTCTCAAAAGCAGGCAACACAGTGAGAGACACTGAGGTCACTGTTGGGAGTTCCCACAAGAGGACCAAGCTACAAAACTGCCACACATATGCAGAGGGCCTCTGTCAGATCCACTCAGTCTCTGAGTCCCTATACGCTCAGGTTAGTTGATTCTGTAGGTTTTCTAGTGGTGTCTTTGACCCCACTGGGTCCTACAATCTTTCCTCCCCATCTTCCATAAGATTTTCCAGCCTCTGCCTTACCATAACCTTTGTTGTTGTGGTGGTTGTTGTTTTGTTTTGTTTTTGAGACAGGGTTTCTCTGTAGCTTTGGAACTGGCCCTGGAACTCGCTCTGTAGACCAGACTGGCCTTACAGAGATCAGCCTGTCTCTGCCTCCTGAGTGCTGGAATTAAAGGCATGTGTCACCACCTCCCAGCTATAAATAACTTTCTGAGGAGATAAACTCTTTGCGGTTTTCCCCGAAGCGGCAGAGTTTTGACTTAACTTGAGGGAGCCTGAAGTCCATGGCTACAGCAGCAGCTTGGATGTAACTTGTGCTGTTGTGACGTTGGGGAAAGGCACACACAGAATGTCAGCAATGTTTTCTCTCATTCCTTTTTCTAGAACTGGCTTCGCTAAAAGTTTTATTACATCATATGATTCAAAGATTAGACAAATAGATCAGAACAGGGTGCTGAAGCAACAGAGGAGAGCTGCCGGATCAGTCTCTCCCAAGGAGGCAACTGCCCAACTCTGAGATTCAGGATTGACTAAGTCCCTCAGTTTCACTCCAGGTGACCTCTTAGGGGATACATGGTCAGGCCATAATCCACCCAAGATCACACCCAAGTATGTCCGGATGGAACAAAACAACCCTACCAGGAAAGAAATATTTTCAATTGCATATTATACTTGCTTAAAATGGTGGCTTAGGCCTGTAACCTCGACACTGAGAAGTCTGACGCAGGAGGATCAGAAAGTCATCCTGGACTATGTAGTAGGTTTCAGACTAGCCGAGGATATGTATGGAAGACCTATTTAAAGGAAACAAAACAGATCCAGTGAGACAGCACTACAAGCAAAGGCACTGGCCACCGCGTGATGACCCGATTTGATGCCTGGGACCCACAGGGTAGAGAGAAGCCATCCTTACAAGTTGATCTTTGACCTCTACAAGCATGCCGTGGTGTTCTCTGATGTGTGTGCATGTGCGTGTATGTGTGTGTGTGTTTGCACATACATGGGGAGAGTTTAAAACAAAATGAAATGTTGAAGCATGTTTTAGCTTGAGAAACAGTTAAGTCTGCCGTTCCTTTAGTAAATATAAGGGTTTATTTCTCCTTTAATCCTGTTGGTTATAATCTTTAACACTTCAGGGTTTTTTTTTATAAAACTTTTTCCTATGTAGTGTATAAAAAGCTAATAATTGACTTTGACTTTTTTTTAGAGCAGCTCATTATGTTCCCTTAGATTTCTTACTTCTTCTTTTAGCTCCATTGCCTACTCTAGCATGTGATTTCCCCTTATGTCCCTATCACTACGGCTATGAGGTACCAAAGCAGGACAAGGCTGACATTCCCTGAACTTCCACCACATGCCAGACGCTATGCCGAGTGCCTTTGCTTATATTATTTCGTTCACACTTGTAGGACTCTCCATGGACATATGACTCATCCACAACCCAGAGAGGTTTTTTAACTAGCTCCAGGGACATGGAGCTAGTCATTGATGAGTTCATATTGGACCCCACACCTACCAGGTTTGAAAGCATTATCTGTTCATTGTGTCAGGAATAATAGCTAGATATTAGTTCATTAAGAACTACTAAGCACCAGGCACATCCATGCAGAGAGCCTGGGAAGGCTGAAAATGAGAGAGGTATGGAAGCCAAAAATGGCTTTGTCTCATGGTTCCCCAATCCCCTAAAGGGCATCTGGAGGGTAACAGACTGACAGCTGCTGAATTTAGTGATGAGGTGGGGTTCAGACTATTAAGGACTACTAAGATGAGACTCTAGGTTCAGGAATCTGTTGTGACAGCTTAGAGACTAGCCAAAATGAAGCATTCTCTAACAGTTGTAGGGGGACTTTTCTTTCCCACCCATCAGCTCCCAAATAACCAACATGGAGACTCAATAGTAATTTTAAATGCTGAGCCAATAGCCCAGGCTTATTACTAACTAGCTCTTACAACTGAAATTAACTCATTTATATTAATCTACATTCTGCCACAGCATGTTACCTCTCTTTCATCTTGAACCTCCTGCTTCCTCTCCATGTCTCACTGGCAACTCCTCTGACTCTACCCTTCTTCTTCCTGGTTACCTTAGTCGGGTTCTCCCACCTAACCTTATCCTGTCCAGCTATTAGCCAGTCAGCTTCTTTATTAAACCAATCACAACATAATTTACACAGCGTACAGAGGGATTATTCCACAGAATCCGGTGATGTTGTTTTATTCTTTTCTTCAATGAGCCATTGTACATGTCTATCAGTGTGTGGGCATATAATGACAAATGAGGTATCATTTTATGAATACTTAGTACTTTCTTCAAGGACTTTCATATCTATTGAAGAAGACAGATTCAGAAGCTCTTAGGACAAGTGAAAATATATTGTGTACTGTATTAAATGCCTCTTCTATAATCAGCCTATTGTGGGCACATACTGATGGATAACTCAGTACCCACCTCACCTTGATTTCTTGTGCGAAGTCTGGTGAGAGAGTTGAACACAGGCACTCTCCGTACTCCTTTCTTAACAAGTAGCCTCCTGACTTTTTTGCTTTTGTATTTTCCAGACAGGGTTTCTCTGTGTAGCCCCGATCATTTAGAACTCTCTGTAGACCAGACTGGTCTTGAACTCACAGATCCACCTGCCTCTGCCTCCATCCTGAGAGTGTACAGCAACACCATCAGTAAATTTCTGGTGTTAAGCAATGGAAAAATAGAAAAGATCCCCTTGGTGAGGTATTATTATTACTGACGTAAGATGGAAAGTAAGTTAGGTTAGTAGAACAAACCCAGACAAATCTGGTAAAACACCGAACACATCAGCTGGAGAGATGGAGCACTCAGGGCTGATGCCAGAAAAATATAGGGCAGAGTCAGAAAAAACAGGCATAGCTGGTCTTAGTGATTTCTGGACACAGATGTGAGATGTAAGATGCAGAATTTTTCAGAGAAACAAAATAAGGCATCTCCCTTGACTTCATTTTTGTTCAGCTAGACTGTGTATTCTGACTTAGCATTGGTTTGGACAGAATTTTCTTTATTAAAAGGTTTTTAATTAATTCTTCTTTTTGTTGTTAGAATTTCATACGTGAGTACTCAATTCACATCACCCCCTTCAATTCCTCCCTTCCACTCGGTCTTAAATTCATGACACTTTTTAATTATTGTTACATATATATTTTTATATCTATGTGGGTATGTTTGTATCCTGCTGTGTCCATTTAGTGTTGCTTCTATGCATACATGTTTCTAACCACATGGGATTAGACAACCTGCCTAGGGGCTCTGCCTAGATAAAACTGGTTCTCCATACTTCAGCAGTCATTAATTGCCTGTAACTCTTCATCTAGAGGTGGGACTTTATGAGATTTCTTCTCCATCCACATTGGCATGCCAACTTGCGTTGTCATTGTGCAGATCCTGTTTAGGTGGCCATATTGTTACGATTTCATGAGTGTAACTTCCTGGTCATATAGAGCAAGACATCTTCTCGCAGCAGACCTCCTGGTCCTCTAACACCATCTTTTCTCTCCCTCTGCCTTGAGCATTAGGTATATGAGTTGTGTTGTAGATGCGTCCATTGGGCTTGGGGCACATGTTCAGTTGTTTGCCTCATTTCTACCAGTTGTGGTTTTCTGTAATGATCTCTGTTCTGCTGCAAAACAAAGCTTCTTGGATGTGGGGTGAGAGCTTCACCTAGCTGTGGATACAAGGGTAAGTGTTTAGGATGCACTTAGAAACTATGTTGGTCTAGGAAAGTGGTGGTAGTAGGCTCCTCCCTTTTAGGGAACATGGCCTTACCAGTAGTTGGGTAGGATTACAGTACTAAGCACAAGTTCCCTCCTATTCAGTAGACCTTAAACCCAATTAACGAGCTGTTGGCTATAGCTGTTGGATTGGTAGAATTAATATTGTGAAAATAGCCATCCTACCAAAAAAAAAAAAAACAATTTGCAGATTCAATGCAATTCCGGTGAAAATCCTCGTTATATTCTATACAGAAATAGAAAGAAAAGAATCCTAAAATTCACATGATACCACAAAACACCCCAGATTGCCAAAGTAATCTAGCAAAAGGAACAACACAGGAGGGATTACCATAACAGATTCCAAACTATATTACAGAACCATAATAATAAAAACAGCATGGAAGGCGAATTCTTATTTGCTAAGAAGGTCTTCGTTCATCATCATCCTCTGAGCCTTGTAACACATACATCATTTCCTCCTAAAATATTATCTAGGAAACTTGGCAGGGCCACCAAATTACCCTTTCCACCTTCCCTCTAAAGGCCCAAGGATATGTGTTCAAGTAGGTTCTTGGAAGCAGTCCTGGAGAGTGTGCAGCATTCCAACATCAACAAGCACACTCTAAGAATGACGGTGTGTCACAGCGATGCTTACTAAGTCCACATTCTTATTTACACGCTCGTCTACACGACAACAACCCACACAGTTCACACAGCCTTGCCACATCTCTGTGGAGTGCTCTGTGCTCTCAAGTTAGCTGCTTAGGAAAGGTGTCTGAGCACCTGGAGTCATGCGGAAAGAATTCCGCAGTGCTGGGGCAGGCAGAGTTATACTTGATGGACCGCAATGTTCCCTCCGCAGACGCTCACATGGCACGGGCAGGCAGCAGCCTCGATGAGTCAGAACCCACTGCCTCCTTATCCTTTGTACTTTGTCTTTTGAGCCAATAAAATACAATGACACCCAGACCTATAATATCTTATCTGCAGAAAAACAAGCCATTAGCAAAGCTATGCACCGAACTCTGAGCCAGCCTCTACAAGAGCTTCCTAGAACCCTGGATTTGCGGGACCCATTTTTGAGAAAGAAAAATCAAGTTGACAATCTTCTCGGAGTTTTATCTATCTTGGAAACAGGGTACCTAAAAGAAAAAAAAAAACATTTTAAATAAGAATTTGAGTGGTACTTAGAATTAGCATATAATTTCTTGAGTGATTTATTTTCATTTTAAAAATTATTTTTGAGGCAGGGCCTTTTTTACCCGACACTGGCTTAAACTCTCTCTGTGACTGAGAATGACCCTGAACTTGCTATCTCCTGCCTCTACGTCCTAAGTGCTGGGACTTAGGATAGTTAATGCCACGCTGGGTTTGCGTGGTGTCGGAAATCAAATCCAGAGCTTCGTGCACGGTAGGCAAGCACTCTACCAACCGAACTGCATCTCCAAGCCCGTAAGGGATATTTCAAAAGATAAAACAAGGTTTTAGAATAGGCTAGTAGCTTCTGGAGCCTAGCATTCTCCGTGCAAACTCCCAAGCTTGTAGGTTGACCAAGAAGCCATGTTCTGTGGGACATTTTCATGGGCCGTTAGCAGGGAAAGAATCAAAGCATCTCACCACAGCTGATGCCCTCAGATAACTTTTTCTCGATAATTTGATTTAGATTTTTGCATTTGCAGCAGTTTGGTCAGCCAGGTTTCATTCCGAATACCTTTCCTCCAGTTTCTTTGCCACAGAGCACACTAGACAGAAATGCGCAAAATCAATTCATGCGGCTACCCCAGTTTTCTGCAATTTCAATTTAAGGAAACAACAATTAGGATATTTCCAATGATGAGAAGAACTCCATTACGCTGTCACAAATGTCAGAAGTTCCTGGATCTGTTAACACTTATGTAATTGTTCTGGAAACCCCACGCGCCGGAATAGACCTACAACGCCAGGCATGACTCACTGAATATTTCTATGCACACATTCGCTCTAAAGCACCCTCCAGTTGGGATTCAATTCTTCTAAGAACAAAAATCAAAGACAAAATATGGCACACCAAATGGAAAAGTTTTCCCTGTTAATTTCTTTCTCTTTTCTTTTTTTTCCTTTCTTTCCTTCTTAAAGGAAGGAAGGAAGGAAGGAAGGAAGGAAGGAAGGAAGGAAGGAAAGAAGGAAGGAAGGGAAAGAAAGGAACATAAGAACATGTTGGTTCTCAAATCTGCAAATGGTCTTTATTTTTTATTTTGTCTTGTGACTTTATACCCAAGGATTTTGCTTTTGTTTTCTTTTTGTTTTTAGTTGTGACTAGTAGCCATGATTGGTGCCCCCATCTTCTGCTCAAGGCTAAAGACAATGATGCCTGAGATGAACGGCTGAACATCGTCTACACAGCTGGACCTCAATCATGACGTCTCATCTATTCACTTTTGTGAAGTCGAATGTTGGGGTGGGGGATGGAGAAAAGCTTACAGCATCCTGATAGCCTGTATTCCCCAGGGGGTCTGTTACCCGCAACTCCTAGTGCTAAGCAGTGGGCATTTCACTAGGCAGCCACAGAATCCAGTCTAAGAATTCTGTCAGCTCTGAGCCAAAACCAGCTCGGCAAAGGCAGTCCCAACAGGCAGCTGAAACAGGTTATTGGTGGGAATTGATGCCTGGGGCAGTAATAGCGACTCAACCATTAAGGCCTGGCCACAGAAAGTTATCAGTCTGCTCTCCACCTGCAAGGGAGCAGTAACAATCCGATGGCCCCGACTGGAGCCCCACTGGGAGACAAGAACAGGATTCCAGGAGGGATTCCTGGTCTAAGAAGGACTGATTAAGAAAGACAGAGTCCCCTTCTTAGAGAAACTTCTTACCAGCCGAATATAGGGGAAGAAGCGAGGCCAAAATGTAACTATAGAACGGAACATGATCTGGGAAGACAGCTCACTCACTGGTCAACTCCTGGCCTTGAGAGCATGAAGTCTTAAATTCAATCCCCAGAACCAGCCCAGGAAGGCTGGGGTAGCAGCACACACTTACAATCTCTTCACCGGGGAGCAGGAAGCGATAGTCTAGTTGGTGACCTCATGGCCAACGAACCGCTGTCTCCAAGAGTTGACTGGCGCTCCCGAAGACGAACCTCTGCCATTACTTGGCCATCACACACATATGCAACAACCCCAACTGTCCACTCAGATGCACTAATAGAAGAAGGACACAAGGAAAGCCTGCGATGAAGATCAGAAAGGGTCTTGCTGCTGGCAACGGAGAAGGAGCTGTCAATGGTACCTGGAGCAGCCCATGCTGAACAAAATGGCCTGCTTAACATTTCCCTGGGGTTGAGAACAGGCAGGCTACTGTCTGGCAGAGGACTGAGCTGCAGGCAGGTCTCTACAGTTCCAGTCAGAGATTGGTCCTGATCTTTGGAACTCAGAAGGTTCCAGACATCCTATCACAAGTAAATCCAGACTCTCAGCCCTGTCTTATTTTTCTTTTGTAATGCTGGTTTTCTTGCCTGAAATTCTGTAGCTCAGATATGGAGAGCCGCTTATCCTCCAGGATGGAATTGCCTGGGAAGCTTCATCAGGTTCCATGGTTCTGAAATGCTTTATTTGGGTCTCTTTAGGGACACTTGCTACACCTCGTCTTGACTGGCTTTGTTTCCTGTATCTTTCTCTTGCTTCTTGCCCAAGTGCCCTCAGCATTTTCACAAACCAGGGCAACACCAGCATAGACAGAACTCGAGGCTGGCGAATGGGCAATGATAAAGACTTGAGCGAGTTGATTGATTAAACAGATGCTTATCAGACAAAATCATCGTTGTTAAAAATCTGCTTGTTACATGAAAATCTGTAGTCCGCCAATAGCCATCAGTAGCGCCTACTGACAGGAAATGAAAAGAAAAGCAAGATAGCATATACCACTGACATCCTGAACCTTGTGTGTGGTTCTTTGTGTAAATTTTACCTCACATCAGCCCAAGATGAATGTGCGGCTCAAACATCCATTTTACAGATGAGAAAAATGGAGGTAGGCAGGTCTCTGTGAGTTTGAGGCCAACCTGGTCTACAAGAGCTAGTTCTAAGTCAGGCTCCAAACCTACAGAGAAACCCTGACTTGGAAAAAACAAAAAACAAACAAACAAAAAACAAAACAAAACAATACAGACGAGAAAATGCAGGTATTGTACCATGATCTTGAAGAATTTGGTCTGATTTGGTATCTTTATCTTCTACAAAATGAGAGAAGTTGGTTTGTTTATTATGATTAAATCTCTTCATTTATTTTATGTACCAACCACAGTTTCCCCTCCCTCCTCTCTTGCCATTCCCTCCCCTGCTCCCATCTACCTACACCCCACCTCCACATCCACTTCTCCAAAGGCAGGCCTTCCATAGAAGTCAAGAAAGCATGACTTAACAAGTTGAGGCAGGACCAAGCTCCTCCCTCTGCATCAAGACTGAGCCTCAAGGCATCCCAGCCTGGGGAATAGGTTAATAGGAGCCCTTCTTACTTGGGCCCTTCACTTTTCACACGGGACATGGCTGCTGCCCATCGTGGGGAGAGGGGTTACAAGACCTATGTGCCGTTCCTCCCCCCATCTTGAGTTAATAAGGACAGCATGACCTGTGTGGCCCTAGCGAAAGGTCCCTCACATTTACCTTTCCCTTGTTGCCCCAGAAGGCACTAGAACAGTGTTTCTCAACCTGTGTGTGTGTGGGGGGGGGTGTTGTCGAACAACCTTTTCACAGGGGTCGCATATAAAATAGCCTGCATATCAGATGTTTATATTACAATTCATAAACAGTAGCAAAATTACACTTTTAAAGTAGCAACAAAAATAATTTTATGGTTGGGGGTCAGCCCGAGACGAAGAGCTAACTGTATTAAAGGGGCGCGGCATTAGGAAGGTTAAGAACCACTGGACTGAAGCCTCTAATTCTCCTTTATGTCCTTTACTCTGGTAGCCTTAGGATGTGGAACATAATTGAAATGGAATGAAATGATGAGAGAGAGACAGAGAGAGAGAGACAGAGAGAGAGACAGAGGGGGCATATCTCTCTAGCATTGCCAACAGACAGATTTCATATCCACCCACTCGTCACCTCTCTCCCTTGTCTCTGAGCCACACACGTATGTTCCTTTATCTTTTGTCCTCACTGCACTAAAAGAGTACATTTCCTTACCCCCATAGTCTCCTGAGATTCCCAAAGTCCCCAGAGATTTGGCAATTGGACGTCCTAGAGGCCCGAAGCTGTCAGGGCTTGAATGGAGGCCTACTTGGCCCCAATTGAATGTAGTTCGGTCCTTTCGAGGCACCTGGACACAGGCACACCACATAATGCCTTCAGTAGTCTCTGGTGCCATAATTACCGTTGGTGGCATTTCCTAAAAAAAAAAAAAAAAGAATGAAAAAAAAAAAAAAAGCATGAGTTTCAAGGCAGCTTTTTTACCTCTTGGAAAAAGGAAAAAGCTGCAAAGATGCAAAGATACCGTTGACTGAGAGCAGTCAGTGACTCTCAGTCAGACGTCGTCGCTGTGGTAGTTGAAGTGTTCCGTGATTCTAATTGGGGTATTCACAATCCCCGTCTTGACTTCTGTTGTTTTTGCCTCGTTGCTTCTTTTGCAACTTGTGTGCCGTCTTGTGAGACCTGTTTGCGACGGATGCTAACCTGTTGAAAGGATGCATGGGCCGAGCGAGACAAGAATCCTGTCTGCACCCCACACTGTTTGCTTTGTGAGATTCCAGACTGTTTAATCGGCTCGACCTCATCCTAATAACTCCAGATTCCACTTTTCTTAATGACTTTCCCCTCCTTAAATGCCTACACAGTTATCTTTGAAGAAGGCAAAAAGGCACAGATGAATCATTTGCAGAAAATGGTGGGGGAGAAGGAGTGTGGTTGGCACGGCAGATGGCTGAGCGTGTGGGCACATAGCTGTCTCTGTTGTTCCTCCCGCCACGCTCTGGAAACAAGTCCCTTGGAAGCATATATTCATTCCAGGGTGGGGGCTGCATCCGCTTTCAGGTACCAACATGTAAATCTACACCCGCTGGGATTCAGTGAGGATGCTCAAGCCCAGGTTGCGATATTATCCTGTCCTTGAAGTTTTGACATTAGACCTTCTAGACATAAAGTAATAAACGACTTCAACTCATGGAAACAGAATTCCTCTTGCCATCTTGTTTTTTTTTCTTCCTCCAGCAGGAAATGAAGTAAGTGTGTGGGTATTCCTCCTGTGTTGAGGTGCCAGTTCCCTGACCTTATAAGGGGCTGGCAAACGCTTCTATAGAAGCTGGGACTGGATTTTCAGACCAAAAATGTAGGTTAAGCAGAAAAATCCCAGATTGTTCCTGATGGAGCTTGTTGTGGTTGGAATATGGAAAGGAATAGAGTGTCCCGCACGCTTGGGGACAAGAACTGGCCAGAAAGCTCACTGAAATGTGCTGTCCTATGTATGTATGCATCTGAGAAACTGTGGCCATTTTGCTGAAGTGGCTGGACTAGATTTCTAGAATTCAAAGCAGCATGGGAGTCGAAAAGAGTCTAACTGTCTCAGGAGGCTTCATTTTGCCTCTCCCTTCCTTTTAAGCTGTCAGATGTCATCCATATATATACCAGGGGGAAAGCATTTGCTATTTTATTTCTGCACGTGTACGCTCATATGCTTGACAGGCCATCTTTGATGACTCTTTCTGTTCTCACCAAGGCTATCTGCCCTCCAGACCCACACCACAGCCCACAGGTATGCAGAAGGGTGTCGGCCCTGTTTTCCTTAAGTCGGTAGGTATTTTGGTAAAACATGTTTCTAGAATTTGGGCTGCATCTTAGCACAAACTATGACTTGTAAATGACATATTTGACGAGTGAACACCGTAAGAGTCCCTGTAGGGGCCAAGGGAGATGGCTTATTTGATAATTGCTTGTTGTACAAGCATGGGCACCCTCACAGCAAGCCAGGCATCCAGGCATAGCAGCAAGCACCTGTGTCTCAGAAGTGGGCAACAGAGACAGGAAGATCCCTGGGGCTTGCTGATTGGCTGGTCTTGCCAGTAGGTGAGCTCCCGGTACATTGAGAAATTCTGTCTGAGAAACAAGGTGGGGTCATAAAAGAGACAGCTGAGAGTTCCCATTGGCCTGCTCATACACACACATTCACCCACGATCACCTTTAATAATAAATACCTAGCATCCTCTGGTTAAGAACAAGTAGACTTGGTCCAGAAATCAATATGCAAGATCACAGAATATATTTCATAAATCAAGATCATAAATCTTGTTAATAGAAGAATTTCCACTACTCATGATTAAGTGACATTTTATCTGAAAATCTTACAGATTGATCCCACAAAGACACTAATTCTTAGATCTTAACTATTTTTCATAGTTTTAATACATGACTAAACAGACCTTCCTCTTCTTCCTCCTCCTCCTCCTCCTCTTCCTTCTCTTCTTCTTCTTCTTCTTCTTCTTCTTCTTCTTCTTCTTCTTCTCCTGACCCCATGTTTTAGCTCTTTTCAAGTGATCTGGGAAGAGGGTGGGACTTGGCATCCAGTCCCAGCAGAAGGAACCTTCATGGCTTCAGGACACAGGTGGGGCGTGAATGGGCTCAGAGATCTCACCTCTTAAAACTGCTTTCCTCCCTCCTCTTCCAGATACTTCAGTGAGATCTGTAATCTAGCTTCCCCACCCTCTCCCTTAAGTGGCTGAGTAACAACCCAAAAGTACACGGAAGTTAATATTTAAATCAAGGGATTAGACTTCAAGGAGAAAATGCCCTCTGTTTTTCTTCACGACCACTGCCCGCCACTCAAAAGATCATCAAGGTGACTTGCAGGGCACAGCAACTGTCCGTGTTTGCTTGCAGAGTTCTGGCTAGGTCCTTAACAAGTCACCTAACACTCCTTTCCTGCCTCCCACCTTCACTTTACAGCCTTGGGATTTCTCTTCCCAGCATAGCCTAGGGTTTTATTTTCCTGAGTATTTGGCTAAGAATTACATGTATCTGCATCTGTCAATGTTCAACTTGGTTTCGTGCCAACAGTCTGTTTTCTTCCTGATGAGATAGAGCTAGAGGGTTTTTTTTTTTTTTCGGTGAATTATCTCTGTGTCAAGGTTAAGACTCTCACCTACCTGCGACTTTAATCTCATCAACCTGTGGTTAGATGCTGAGCGGAGACAAGCACAGGACAAGAGCATGTTTAGCACGTGTGAAGCCCAGGGATTCATCTCCATCATCAACAGAAGAAAAAAAATCAAACAGGTTTGCACGCTAGTAGTTACTTTGTTGGGTCAGTCGTTTCTGACTACGCCAGCTTACTCCCTACAGAAGTCCCACCGGAAGCCCTGACAAAGCCACTTCCCTAGCTCCACAAAACCAACTGCACTGGTGGCTCTCAACGTCTTTACAAGCAGTAGCTCCCACTTCTGTGCTGGAGACAAAGCCGGTCAGACTAATGCTTAAAATCCTTCTCATTCAGGAATTTCCTCATCCTGTTTTGTGTATATTTCTACTGCCAAATGAAATATGATATTTAGGGATTGTAAACAGACCCTTAAAATCTTCCCAGATGGAGAAAAGGGCAAAGGGACTTTTCCTACTTCCTTTTAAATGGGTGAAATGGTATCTTTTCTTCTTCTTCTTCTTCTTCTTCTTCTTCTTCTTCTTCTTCTTCTT